ATCTACATCAGGCATGGGAAGAGTGGGTGGTATTTAACATTACTTGCCTTTCAAGGGCTGTTCGTGTTCCTGGAAAAGGACACTAGTTTTACTTGGAATTCCTTGTTGCTTACAAAACCAGAGAACAGTGCAAAGCTCTTTTATTTATATTGGATAGAGTTTCTGTATTAAAACTTAAATAGTGCAGAGCTGCACTGGTGTGCCACATTCAGCAGATACAAATTGCCTAAGTGGCTTGCTAGGGTTAGGTAAGGAATGTGATGCATCTAAAAAATACTGCTGGATTAGAATGGAGAGTCCATGGGATATTTTGACTAGTTAGCAGGAGTCCTGGAAGTAGGAAGCAGCAGAAATTCTAAGGTATGCTGCTTTATAGCAGCATTTCTGGCAATGCTGCTATAAAGCAACAATTACATCCATGGATATGCTTCTAAATGTTCTTTATATACAAGACTCTATTTTACAGTGGGAGGAAATACTTTTAGGAAGCAGCATAGATTCATATAAAGAGAGTATTAACAAGAACATGTAGTGACAGGACAAGGAGGAAGTGGCTTCAAACTGGAAGACAGTAGGTTTAATTAGATGTTAGGAAGACATTCTCTACTGTGAGGGTGATGGGACACAGGAACAGATTGCCCAGAAAAGATGTGGATGCCCCACCACTGGAAATGTGAAAAGCCAGGTTGGATGGAGCTCTGAGTAGCTTGGTGTACTGAAAGTGCTTGTGCCTGTGGCAGGAGGGTTGGAACTAGGTGATTTCTAAGGTCCAAGCCAGGCCAGTCTATGATTCTATGAAAATACATTTCATTAAATACAGAAAAAAATTTCCACGTTTATGCTGCTGTTTCCCATACTACAGTGTGGCAGCTTTATGCATGATTTCACTGCACTGGACCAAATTGCTGGAAGAAGTAAGAGTATGACATCTACTTTTGGAGCATTTTAGGGATAGTTTTGAGTGTGTGCAAGGACCACAGATGAGAGATAATATGCATCTTGTTGTTAATCTGCTATCACTAGGCACCTTTGAGAAACTGCACTGTGAAATTGGTTTAATTGAATTCTATTCTGTATGTTCCTGAAGGATAATGTTTCCTTCATGTTTTTCTTGCTATCACGTTCTTAAATGAGTAGATGCTTTAAAACAACCAAAGGGTAGAAATGTATGTCATTATATGTCAGAAGTTTACTGTTTTCTTTAGTTATAGGAATCTGCAAAGTATTTTGAAGCCAAATAATTAGCCTGTAGCTTATGCTAAGTATTCCTGTTTTATGAAAAATTAAACAGTTGTTAAAATGTGCGCTTATTGCTTTCCAGAGCCCACCATTTTATCTTTGTCCTGCATGGCCTTGCATGTTCATCAGCAGGGACATAATGTGGATTAAAAAGGCCTGGCTTCAAATAGGATTGTGTGCTTCTGCTTGGCCTGTTTTGAGCATGCAGCACCCAAGTTTCTTTGGAGCAATGGCTTGAGAAGGCTTTCTGACGTGAATAATCCTATTACCAAGTTGATTTGAGTGCTCAGGCTGTGTACAGTCCATTTTAGAAGGTACAGGAGGGGTATTGCTTTGTAACCAAGAGATGTGCTGGCATCTTTACAGAGGATGCAAGTCAGGTTACCTCTGGTGCTGTTTTTATCTGCAGTGGAAAGAAGACTTTGTGGCAGAGAGGGCACTTTGGTTCCTCACATTCTGGAGCAGTGGGAGAGCCCACACTGCCCCGTGGTGTCAGTTTGGACCCGCAGGTGCTGAGAAGCTGCTGACACTGGCTGTGCTCTCGCCATGGTGGCAGACTCACCAGTGGTGCTGCTATCCTGAATGTCCAGGACTGTGGAGCCTGACCAGCAGAGCTTGATTGTGGCTGAGCTGTCCTTGGAAGCAGCAGTTTCCAAGGGTATTTTTGGGGATACATTGTCCTGTCTCTTTTTCAGCTCACTCAGCATTTCTTCGCATTTCATCCAAGCCAGGAAAGGAGGTGCAAGAATGCCAAAGGCAAGATGGACATGCCACCCTAACACTGCTCACCCAGTAGAGCATCCTTGTGGCCAGGGGACATGCAGGGGCCAGCAGGCTACAGGGAACCCAGGCACCTGCAGGAACCAGCCTTCCTAGCCATGGGCTCTGCCACTTATATGGGGCTAAGATGTTCACAGAATCGATCAAGTTGGAAAAGATGTCTGAGATAAAGACCAGCCTATGACTGAACACCACCCTAGCACCTAGACCATGGCACAAAGTGCTACATACATTCTTTCCTTAAACACCACCTGGGATGGTGATTCTAATACCTCCCTGGATCAACCCTTCCACTGTCTAATCATCCCTTCTGTGAAGAAATTCTTCTAAATATCCAAACTAAATGTTTTAATGTCCCCTGCCACAGCTTAAAGACTGTGCCCTCTTACTCTGTCACTGGTTGCTTGGGAGAAGATGCCAACCTTCACTTGCCTACAGCCTCCTTTCAGGCAGTTGTACAGAGCAATAAGGTTACGCCTGAGACTCTTCTTCTCCAGGCTAAACAACCTACCTTCCCCAGCTGTTCCTCATAGGACTTGTGCTCCAGGCTCTTGTCCAGCTTTGTCACCCTTCCCTGCGGCATCCTCCAGTTCCTCCCTGAATTGAGAGGACACAGGATTCGAGGTGTAGCCTCAGCAGGGCCGTGTACAGGGGAAGAACCACTTCCCCCATCCTGCTGGCAACACTACTGCTGTTACAGGCCGGATACCACGGGCCTTTTTGGCCACCTGGGCCCACTGCTGGCTCATGTCCCGCCGCTGTGCCCTCCAGCCTACTCCGACCCACCCTGCTGCGTCTGTGACTTTACGAAAGTAAAGTTCGTAACTTTACATTCAGTCTCCTCATCCATGGTTTGGGCCTTTTCGAAAGTCTGTACAAAGAGCAGGTGCTGCTGTTGCCCTTTAAAGCTCGCCGCCATCAAGTTTTGCCCCGCCCCGGCCGGTCCCTCCGCGTTGCCGGGGCAGCGGGGCCGCGGAGCGGGGCAGGTGAGGAGCCGCGTCCGGGCCTTCCCCGAGCGCCGGGGCGGCCTCCGCGGGGGTCTCCGGGGCGCTGGGGCCGTGGGCGGCCCTGGGGCTCCCTCCGGCCTGCGAGGGGCCGCTGCCCGCCCGCGGTGCCTCCCCGCAGCTCGGGGCGGACGGGCCGCGGGCAGCCGGGGCTCGGCCGGTCCCATCTGCGTGCGGACACGCCTTGGCCTTGTTTTCAGAACACCTGGGGCTGGCCTGGGGGGCGTGGAAGGAAAAAAATAGAAAATTAGAGCTAACTAGATAGAGGAAGTGAAAGCGGTGAGCTGCTCTTTGTCTCTAGCGAGAGTAACCCATGGTGAAGGGGTGCAGAGGCTGCCTGACCTAGCTGTGCTTTTTTTTGACCATTAGGTGCGTTTATATGTGCAGGAGGTTCCCTCTGAACATCAGGAAACCTTCTTTCCCTGTGAGGGTGACCAAGCACTGGCACACGTTGCCCACGGGAGTGTGGAGCCTCCATCCTTGGAGATTCTTGGAACACACCTGCACATCAATCTTTGGCACCTTGCTCATAGGTTGTGCAGGGGTTCAGACCAGCTGACCTCCAAGAAGTCTCTGGCCACCTCTGCCCTTCTGTGATTAATGGCTTACTGTAGAAAAGCAGCTCTTGCAATGCATTTTTTTTCTGATTTTATTTTTATTCTTTTATTTGACTACTTCCCTAGGGTACATGCACACACAGCTGTATTCCTTCCTCAGAGTTTTTCTGTTGTCCTGAAATTCTCAGCTTTTTTTGCCTTCAGCTTCTGTTCCTTGGCTAGAGCTGTGTTTTTGAATCATTACTGAAAGTGCGTGACCAATGTGGTAATTAAATGTGCACTTTGAAGTTTGTTTCTGATGCAAATTGCCTGCATTGGAGTGATGAAGATGCTGTACCCTGTCTGTATTTCTCCATAAATAAAGCTCTAAGTACGGCTTGATCCTCAAAGAAGCCTTGAGCCACAGCAGTTCCATTGCTCTATCTCTGACTTTTAATTTTTTTCTTTTCCGCTACAGGAAAATTAATGTGAGAAAGCCACCTGCCAGATACTCTTATCTTTAAAATGTCTAAAGGGATAGAGGATTCTGTTACATGATTCCTGATTACTTTCTTAATGCTGTTGCTTTTACTGCTCCTCCTTTCTGCAAACAACTAACCATCTTAGGTTCCTGTTGCTAAATCAACTTAAGCATGCCATAGTTTGTCCTGGAAATGATGAGAAGAGTTTCCCACTGAATGCGCTCCATTGCTATGGGAGAAGAACCGTACAATAGCCTATCTCTGTCCCTTCTTTTGGATCCTGGGGAACAGGATTCCTTGCAACAAATGAGTTAAATCCTGAATGAGACAGATACACCTGTAGAGCTGTATGAGCAAAGTGTGATATGTGCTTGCAGCGCACATGAATGTTTTGTTCGTCACTGTAATTGTTTGGAGTAAAGTCTGTCACGAGCACAAATTAGTAACTTTTTGCCACAGCATTTTTGAATACATAAACACAGTACAGACTTGCTCATCTGCGTATTCTGGTATCTGTACAAAAATGCCAAGATTTTCCTTGGCATGCAGTAGTGAGTTGTCAGTGTAGATACCTTTCATGTTGGCATGTGTGGTGTGACTTGTCTGGACTGCCCATTTTACAAATTTTCGTTGTGGTAGGTTTGAGGAGAAAAATCAGTTTAAAACTGTCTGAAGTCACCTGTTAAAGCAGTAGTTCTCACCCACCTGTGATTGGTGCCCAAGCTGATGTGTTTTACTTGGTGTAGCCATAAAGGTTTTTAGATCCTAGAGCCACACGGGGCTTTGTCTATTTACCCTTCCAAATCTGTCAGCACCCCAGAAGCCCTAGCTGTCAAGTAGGACAGGAGAAAATCTGGGGTCAGGCACTATTCACTCCCATGTGCACACACAGCTTTTCATTCACATCTGCATCTGTGAACTGCTGTTTTATTTCTTTCAGGTCCTTGTGACTGGACACCATGCCTCTTCCAGAAACCATGTTCTGTGCTCAGCAGATCAAAATCCCCCCGGAGCTACCCGATATTCTGAAGCAATTTACTAAAGCTGCTATTAGGACTCAGCCTTTTGATGTTTTGCAGTGGGCAGCTGCGTAAGTATGATGTTCACCTAACAACAGAGAGCTCTACATATGGGCCCTCAAAACCTCACTCTCCTCTTTATTGTATAGTGGACACAGTTTTGAATATTGCATCAGCATATACATTACATATACACTTCTGTGTAGTAATGCAGCATGTAAGCCTTTTAAAAATTTTATTTATTTTATTTCTTTTCTGTTTCCTTGAGGTTTAGGGCTGGCTTACTTCTGAAATAGCTGGATTTCCATACAGAAAAATGCATCTTAATTTTATTTTTGTTATTAGTCTTTCTATCTGAAAGACCAACTCTTTTTTCCTTTTGGTTTGGTTTGATTTGGTTTGGTTTGGTTTTTCTTCTCTCATCTGAGATTCAGTTCTTGGAATTTAAAGGAAAAAATAGACATTAGCTTTCTAATTCTTAAGCCTGGTTAGATTTCTCTTCTTTCTTTCTGGGAAAAGTGCCTGAAAAATTGCACCTTTGAAGTGATAATCGGCATAATAAATCTCTTGCTATAAAGTTGATTTAGATGTTTAAATGTTTCTCATTTAACATTTTGTTTCTTTTACTCACCTGCTCACTATATTTTTTTCCTGCCCTATGGTTTGTGTGGGCAAGCTCTTGAAAGGCATCTGTGAGATGTTCTCAGCTGGGGGGACTTGCAAAACTTCTGCACCCTGTGAGGGAGGGGAGGCTGTTAACACAGCCAGGCTGGAGTCCGGCTTGTCTGTTAGAAAGAAAATAATCCGAAGCTGAATTGTTACCGCTGCAGTGTTGGAGGAAGCCAGCAGGACCACCTTACAATGGTGTGGCGTTTCTTAGGAATGTGGTGGAGGTGAGGTGCGGCTACGTGTGTAGCCGGAGCCTGCTGGGACTGGCGCTGCGAGAGCAGGGGCAGCCCCGAGCTCTGCCTGAGCACTGCAGCAGCAGACGGGGCAGCCCCGCAGGTGGCAGCGCGTCTGCTGCGATCCTCCTGCGGCTGCCCATCGCAGCCCCTCTCTCTGGGGCATGCTCCCGACCTGGCAGAGCAAGATCTGTCCCTGGGAGCCGTACAACGCAGAGCAAAGCTGTGGCTTCACGCGTGCTGCTGCTGTTGTAGTGCTTGTGCCTGTGAATCATCAGATGAGGAACTGGATCTGGCTGAAAAATAGGCCGGGTGTTATCTGTGCATGTGTACTGTGCATCTGTTTCTATAGTCACACTAACTCAGTTGTGGAGTGCTGCCTGCTGTATTTTAGCTGTATTTTAGCACAGCAGGGGATAGCCTGAACATGGACAACCAGGGCAGATGAGGCAGGACAGGTGGAGAAGCTTGTAAATTAGATGCACCTGAATAAAAACTGTGTTTTCCTTGCACAATTCAGTTTGTTGGCCAGTTAAGGCAGAGGCAGTTCTTAAGGTTGACAGCCTTATAATTAAAAGGATGTGCATCCAATGCCCTTTATGCTCTGCTCTTAAGTTTTATTTTGGAGTGGACAGAAATTGCAGAAATACTGAGAAGAGAATTGCAATGTGAATAGGCAGGTGTACATTTTGAGTAGTCCACAAGGGGAATGTTAAATAGATAAATCCTCGGGTTCATCAATTAAAAGAACTGAATATATCATGCACAAAATAAGTTAAATGCCTTAAGAATTATCAGAGTGTAATGAAAAGGGGCAAGTAAAGTCTAAAGATTGTGGGTTTTGGCCACAGAAATATGGGAGTTGTGCATGTAGGCAGCTTACCAGTTGCTGCCACTCTTGTGGGGGAACCTGCAGACTCTTACACTGAACTGTAAGAGAATTTACTTCTGTGCAGTTTGTAATGGCCATGGGCATTGAGGTGTGTTGCTCTTTCCATTCACTTAGGTATTTTTCAGCGTTATCTAAAGGTGAACCCCTTCCTGTGAAGGAGAGGCTTGAAATGCCATTAACAACAGGGAAAAAAGATGCTGGTTTGACCCCAGGACTCCTTAAGGTCTTGCACAAACAGGTACAAGCTGTTCTTTATCAAATGCACAATGCTATTGAGGAATGCTGATGTGTTGGAGATGGCTGGGGAGAGAGACTGTCAAGTATTTGAAGTATTTTGGGGAGACAGTGTTCTTAAATTCGTTCTGGTTTTCAGAGTTCTTATTGTGGTACCATGATTTTGTTCAAAGCTTTCTTCCAAAGACATGGTGGCCATTGCAGAACTGAGGGAAAAATGGAAGCATTTGGGCTTGCCAGAGGAGCAGCTGGAAGCTATCCTGCAATTGGACAGTTTTGGCGAGGAGGTGGAATGGATGAAGTTTCTGGCACTTGGGTGCAGCGTGCTTGGTGGGGTACGTTCACAGCTGGAGCCCTCATATCCAAACACAAGGGGTTGCCTGGGATCCATATGCAAGATAGACCATAGAACAATTAATGCAGATGGATTTGAGGAATGGTGATTGCTTTTGCAGCAGCTGGTAAAGTGGCTTGAGTGTTTACTTCCGTTGTCCATCAGATTTTGGTCTGGGGAACTTTACCAGAAGGATGGCTAAGTCCTCGGTGGAAGAGCAAGTGTGTCTGCAGGGAGCTTGTTCTGTGTGAGAGAGGATGATGGAGGAATGATGCTCATGGCATCAGTGTCAATATCCATGAAGGAGAACTGAAGAGAGAAATTAAAGAACCAATTTTTAATTGATTGTGTAGCCAATTAAATTTTCTCAGCAGCACCTAATGTAACTACATCTGCACTTAATTCTTTTAATGTCAGTAATAAAATCTCAGCAGAGCATTTCAACAGAATGAGAGATTATAAAATGCATTAAGCTGATGTTCTTATAAAGTATAATACTTCTAATGATTTCTACAGTAGGGAAGAAGAGGTACTAAAAAGAAAATATATGTGAAATAATTTTTGTGAATGTTGCAATATCTGGAAGGCCTGAATGTTAACCTGGCCTGGCGATGCAAGTGTGCAATTGTCTGTCTATTTATCCATCTGTCTGTCCATCTGTCTGTCTATCTGTCTGTCCATCTGTCTGTCTGTCTTTATTTCAAATTTGTATTTCTTGGTTCCAGTCTCCCTCCCAAAATAATCTTGTCATCTGGGCTCTTTTCTTCATTTAAAAATAGTAACAGCAATATTACTTATCTAAAAAAAAAACAACCACTCTTTCCTGCAAAAAAACCCAAATAAACCAAAACTAAAAATGGAGTCACAGGAACATCATTCTAATGGAGCTAGACAGACTAAAATTCACCATCTCACCATCCTTTTGGATATTAAGTGAATTATTTGATTTCAATACTACATAATGAAACCTAGATCTGAGTTTCCTAAACCGGAGAGAAAGACATACATGAGAAATTTACATTAATTTCCTGCAGCTTTAAATTGTGTTCACAGTCAAACAGGGTCATGGTTGAGATACAAGAGTAGACAAATATGAACTTCTTAAGAGCACCAGTCTGAAATATCTTTTTTGTAAAGCATCAATACATTTTTATAAAAGCCTTTACAAAAGGAGAAATGACCACACAGGTAGCCTGTTAAATTGTCTCCCAAGGTTGGCAAAATGGATATGAATAACTTTGCTGTGTTGTGAGAGAGACCGTGGCAGAATCAGGTGGCAGGACCAGAAAGGACAGTAGAGGGGTAGCCAAATGCAAAATGTAGAGTTGGCCATCATAGAGTCAGCTGCCTGTCTTTTCCCTGAGAAGCCTTCCAGGGGAGGAGATGCATTAAGTAAAACTGGTAAAGGATTATAAAATGACATTTCTCTGGCATGTGTTCTAGATCCTAAACAGATACAGTATTTATTTTAAATAGTGCTGTTCTGCTGGTAGGAAATACTATCTTTTTACATAGACATTGCTTGCTTGTTAATGAAAACGTATGAGTAAATTTTGAAAAAGTTGCAGTGAAAAATATTAAGACTTAGGTGGAAGAAAGCCTGTGTGGGTTTGGTTTTGTGCTTTTATATTTTGGATATATATGGTGCATGTGGTTTTACTTGTTTGTTTCTTTAATGGCATCCAATCAGTCTTTGAATGAAACTCAATGCTGAAATTTTCAACACTTTTCCCAATATAGCTCAGCATGCATAAGGCACAGGATTGTCAACACCATATTAAAGGAAGTATTTTTTCAAAGTATATTTGGAACTAATAATTTGAGGCATGTGTTTTAAAGGTAACTCGGATGTTATTGGCCATTGACTAAACTGAAATATTCTTTAAATGCCTTTGCCTCAGAGCTTTTTCTACTGTCTGTTAAAATGGAACTTGCATAGAGATAGGGGAAACGGTAATTATCAGCCAAAATATAATCTAAGAATTATGTAATATAATATCATAATAAAATCACCAAACCTATATTTATTTTCTGAGGGTTGTAGACTTATCTATCTTAACTGCTGCTGAGAATTCATTTAGAGCCATTGAGGTGATATACACACACACAAAAAGATCTTTTACTAGATACAGTGATGTTGGAGCTTTTACAGTAGCAGAACAGAGCTATTTGGCCCTAATGAAGAGAGAGCTCAGATTACCCTATGTAATCTTTAACCATCACAAAATTCTGGTATTTTTTACTCTGGCCTCTACTAGAACTACATTATTGTTTCCATCCCTGGACCTGCACTAGAGAGTAAATTTGGGGTTTGAAGCTAGGCAACGATGATACCTTTATTTCATTTACCCTCCCTTTTAATGGCTTTCAGTGTGAATTTTGCCATGATATGCAAGGATGTTCATGGCTCTGATACTTTTCCTTTCATTTCTTGCTGGAACCCTGCAGTCCTTGCTGAGTTCAATGAAACAGGCCTGTGAGATCCTAACAAGAGACCCAGAAGGCGGAGCAGCTCGAATCCCCTTTGAAACATTCTCGTTCCTTTATTTGTATTTGGCCAGTATTGATGGAGAGATATCAGAGACAGAAACTAATGCATTCCTCCATGAAATTAAAGAAAAAGCGTAAGTAAAAATCTGTGCAAGGAATTTTATTGTATCGATTGCCTCTGGGTTCTCCATAAGCCTTTAATTTCAGGTGAATAGTCCATTTTCTTCTGGGCATAGCCATGATGTCAGGAGGAAGGATTGACTAAGATTGTATCAAAAATATACAGTTATTGTATCAAAAAATATAGTTATTTTTTGTCAACTTCAGCGTTTACACTGTTAAAAGATAAACTGTTATTTATCCTCCATCTTTCTCTGAAATTTTATTGAAGTCTTTGCAGGATGGTATAATTTTCCCTGTAGGAAGCTATTATATACAGACTTATAACATCTGCATATTCCTGCTTCTGGGACCAGCAGCATTTCCTGGGCTGTTTCTTTGATTTAACAGATCATAAATCCCCTTTTTATTGCATTTCATATAGCCCTAAATTGTATCTTTACCAACACACTAGGATTTACCACGTGAAAGTGCCATTTAAAAATTTTGGTTTATTCCTTTCCAGGGACAAACACTCTGGCATGGTACTCATCAGACACTTCCTGCCATACTCCTTCATATTTTATTGATCAACCTTACCAACCCTACTCTTCAGCATGAGGTGAGAAGAAAAATAAAAGAAGGAATAAATAAGTTCAAGAAAATAATTTGTGTTCAAAGTACCATAATTTGCACATTTCAGAACAACATGATCCTCTTCTCTGGCATTTCCTTTTCTTTATCCTGCTCTTGAGATGGCCTTTCAGGGGATGTTCATTGAATAATACATGGTTATATTGTTCTCCAAACTCTCACTGATGGCCACCCCTAGGGAGCAACCCCTTCACTCATCTGCTGATACTGAATTGAGCAAAAGTTGTTTTGTTACCGAGCTTCCTACCTACATTTGTTAACTGATTAAGTAAAACATGGAATTGAGTTAAGCCAGGGCAGGTGTAACTGGAGCATTTCTCATTATGCTTCTCACTTCATTTTGACTCTGGCACAAATACAGCTTGTCTGCCAGGACATACTCTATTTAAACTGTTTTACCAGACCCTACTGAAAGAACTTAATGCGAACCCTGTGGCTGAGCTGGTAGACAGAACCAATGCAAGGACTGCAGTGGTTCCATATTGTTTTCCCTCTAATTAGAAGCCTTTTAGAACTTAAATACCTTTTTTCATTTTTGGATAAACTTGTCTAAATAAAGATCTTTTAAAATGTGTTTTGTTTTCTGACAGGTAAAGCTACTGCATTTATCACGCAGGCGAGGAATACCTTACATAGAGTTGTTTGGTTAAACTACTGTAGCAGGTATAGAAGCCTAAATCCATCAAAACTAGACCAAATATTTACTGACAGATAATCACACTTAACTGCAGAAACAACTGAGATATGAAAGAAGATACTAGAGGCTACAGTAAAACTGTAAAGGTTCCCTTTGACTGAGAAGGCCACAACCATGAGCAATATGAAGTGCCCTTTCTTGGCACATTGAACAAACAGAAGTATTTTAGGAAAGATGGATCTTGTTCTTATAGTTGTTTACTTTGCTGAAGCAAGAAGCTTGGCTGATGGTGACTGACCTTGCTGAAGTAGATTGTGTGAGGAATTAACAGAACAGTACACCCTTAATATCTACCTGCATGTTTTAAGTCTGTTTTAGCAACCTCTATCACAAACACATGTGTGTTAGCTGCTGAAAGGAAATGCACCTGCTGTTTGAATATGGTACTCAGCAATACTCCAAGTGTCCTTGGTGCCTCCCCCTAGCTTCTGTGGAGAGCTACATTCTCATCACCTTTGCCAGATTATATTGTTCTGCATTTTCTTTGAGCACGAGCTTGGGAACACTAACTTTTGTGTTATTGTCCATTTAACACCAGCGGCAATTGAAGATGTTTTATCCTGTTGGAGAACTCTGAAATGTGCCCTCTGGTAGATGCTGTAAGTAGGCAATGTCACCTAGAGGTAACACTGGTAGGTAGGAGAGGGAGCTCTCTTCATGCCTTCCCTATTTGTAACTGATCTGGACTCCAGGCATTAGCTCTGTTCTATATCCACTACTTATGGGGCAGGAAGGCCAGTAAGTACAGCCTCTCATAAATTTTATTCTTTAGCCTTGTGAGAATAACTCAAATACATGACAGATCAATATAATTTATTAACAGATGTATAAATGTTACAGATTTACACATTATCTGAAATACACTACTTCCATCCTGACAAACTGTAGCACTTTTTCGTCTCCAAGCAGCACAGGTCAATATTATGTGCACACCTTTACAGTCTTGGGCAAAACAGCAGTAACAATAGTTCTTGTGGAAGTTATGTTTTGAACAGCTGACAAACAAAATCATCAGGTTCTTGTTCCTACTTTCTTCTTTTATGATTGTAATACTTGTCTTCATCCCTGAAACAAAAACATAAACATTGTGTGGGCTGTTAGGCTCAGAGTGAGAGTCTGAAGAGAAAAAAACAACTTGGAAAATGGAAAGCTCTCATTAAATGTAGCCATGTCCTCCTCTAAGGAAGGAAAGTAAACTGCTCGTAGACAGGTGAATTTCTGTGCTGCTTTAATCAAGCCTTGTCATGCAGTGCCAGAGTGGCAATAAGTTTAGGATGAACAGCATGACGGTGTAATGAAGCCAGCTTTGAGACAAGCCATCATTGCCATCCATGCAGTTATGTAATGCATTTACCCAAACACAAGGGACAAGGCAGCATTTCTTCTGCACAACAGTCCCTATCATGTCTGCTCAAACACAGGTCCCACACACCTGTGGTCCTGCAGATGTAAATATCAACTTTGTTGATGGTATTACAAGCTGTGGCCTAATTTGTTTTCTTTTGCTAAATTGTATGTCCAGATGTACTGAAGAGCAACAGCATTGTTTTGAAGCATCTAATGTGGAAAGGTTAATAATACTATTTATTAAGGTCTAGAGCAGAAATCATCACTAGACATGACCGGCACTTAGTTGTGGATGAGAAACATGCTGTCCCTTTAACCATACTGCTCAAGGAGTAAAATCAACAGCCTGTCACAGTACTGTTGCAACCCTGCAAGCATGCTGCAGGAAGTGCCACCTTTCAGATGTGTCAGTAAATTCTGAAGTCTGGATCACAGTTTGTGATCTCACAGTATGTTCTGTTTAGTATTAGTAGCCTCATACCACTGACTTGTCATACTGCACATGAGGTTAGCCTAGCTTTTTCACTGGATGAGACATTCTCAACCTCTGCACTAAGTTCTCAGAGAAAATGGCTACAGCTGCTTGATTGGGAAGCAGGAGTCAGCTGTCACTGTTTCTGCTCACCTCTCTCTTTTTCTCCGAGAGTCTCTGTCTTTGCCTCTCTCACGACTCCTCCTCCGTTTACTTGGACTCCTGCTGGTGTCTCTCCTGTGTCTCGTGCACTCCGTGTCCTTACTGCTTCCCCCAGACTGCCGCGAGTCCACTGAAGCTGACCGCCTGTCCTCCCTTCTGAAAATAAACTTAAGTGACTTTAATCCATAAAAACAGTTTCACAGTCACTGCTTCCAGTACCAGTTTTGTAATATAGTGACATACTACTGATGTAAGACAAAAGACATATCTTTTATTAAGCCTATCTCTCTAAGAAATGCAATACCTCCCAAAAGAGGCCCAAAGTCCATGTGCATATCTCAGCACTCTAATCCAGTTATTTCCTATGAACACTGCTCCTTAACACCTTTGCTTGTCAAACAGGAGGCATTAGAAGGGGTTCACTCTGTTTTGCTTCAAATCTTTTAACTCTTCAAGCACCTGCCTTAAGCTGCAACCTACAGCTGGAGAACCTAAGTCCTGATCTGACAGAATCACAGAATTGTTAGGGTTGGAAGGGACCTCTGGAGATCTAATCCACTCCCCGTGCCAAGGCAGGGTCACCTAGAGCAGGTTACACAGGAACCTGTTCAGGTGGGTTTTGAATTTCTCTAGACAGGGAGACTACAGCATCTCCCTGGGCAGACTGTTCCAGTGCTCTGCCAACTATTCATCTTCATTTTAATGCTGGTAATAGAGTGTCACTTTCTAGAGTGTTTCAAAAACATTCTCCTCTCAAAGACCTGCTGAAGAGGCACAAATAGGCAAGCACTAGGTCATGACTCCATGTTTACTTCAGTGACCAGCATGTGGAAGGGTGTGCAGTGTTGCTTGACACAGCAGAAATATGTATACTACAACACCCTCCCCATTACCACAGCAGCATTTGCAGGGATAAGAACTGTAAAGCCTCCCCATATTTAATATGTTATGGAAACCTCTACTCTGAGGTGTAATATATCTAGCACATGTCATGTGGTAGGGAAGGGTAAGAAATTGTATACTTGTATTTCCAAGTGTCCTTCTGTAACCAGCTACAACATATATACACATTTGGGCACAGAGGGAGCACTATTCATCCCCCACCTCCACCAGAAACTAGCTGTTCAGCTGAATCACTTGCAACTAACCTACTTACCTCTGAAAGAAAGATACTTATTAATTTTTCTGCATCCTCCATGCAGGCAGAGTTTCTCAAACAAGACTTAATAGAATTAGTATAAAATAAACCGTGCATATGACTCAGATAATGTTGATATGTGCTATTAGAAGAAGGTGGTAAGATAAAATTACAACCTGCTTCATGCCTGAAGAAGCTGTCAGCTGTGGCATACCTTCCTGAAGACTTTGACTTCCCTCCTTCACATATCTCTGAATTATCCAACCTGTTCTCCTCCTGCCACTGATTGCTGAGTTCTTCCATATGCACACCAATCACATCCCGAATCACCTGGAGATTAAAATATATTAAAAACAAACATGGTAGTGCCTGAACTAGCACTAAACAAACTGTAAACATCTTAAAAAAAACCCTAACCTCACAAAAATCTCCCCCAAACCCTGTACATCAGATGTTTGAATGGAAAGTCTTATTTGCAGAAAAATGTTTCAGCATAAATTTAAATAGCACCATTTTATGATAGTGAGCTGTATCTTGCTGGCATTTTCACATTCAAACCTTAGCAGTTAGAAATGCTCATTATTTGTAACTTGCTGCAACAAACCAAAGTAATTTCTCTACAGTTTGCAACAATAACAAAGCAGGATACAAGAAGCAGAGAAAGACACATTATTTGTCTTTGAAAGCATCTGTAATTGTTTATGCTGATATATAATAAGCACTTCTGTGCAAAAAAGCCTTTTTTCCCATCTCACCTCAGTGTAGGACTTCTTTGTTATATGAACATTCTTAGCTCTGTATGACTGCCGCCGCCTTTTGTAATCTCGCATTTCAGCCAGAATTTCAAGATGGGACTTCGGACCTTTCTGACTATCATCTAGCAAAAAATTGGGGTAAAACAAATGGTCATTAGCAGGATGTTAGCACCTGCAGTATGCAGGCCTTGTATGCTCAGGAACATAAAATAATTGTGCTCTTTCTCAAGCTCCTCCTGTATTTAGTAACTATGGTGAATTTATCTCAAGCTTCCTCCTCCAACCTTCTTGCTGGCTGCTTACACACAAGTAAAAAGCCACCAAGCAAATGCTGTTATGTGATCTCAGTCTCCAAACTGTGATCCACACCAAAATACAGGCTGGTGATTTGGTCAAACGCCTTCTAAATATGAGTCATGTTTTCAAAGCCAGTATTACACTAAGAAACAGAATGAGAAAGCCAGATTCTGTAAAAAAGTTACCTGCATAGATGCCAAGCACTGTCACACCTCCTAGGCACAGCAGGGCCTGCAGGGTGACACAGATGCTTTTGCTGCACTTGGTAGTTACAAACTGGCATGACTCAACAGGGATGAGAGGTCCCAGACCAACACCAAAGTATGTTGCTCAAGAGCTCCACCTGGATGACTGCCAACCTCTCCTGTTCAGCTTTTACTCTTAAGCAATCTTTAATCTCATCATGTCTTACAGCAAATAACTGTTAGCTGCACAGCACAGTGGCAACATTAATCAACCTGGAGACAGCTGCAGCAAAGACAGAAGATCCATCCACTGAGATACCCATAATACATGTGCCAAGGGCAGAGCACTGAGGTTTTCCAAGAAGGTAAACATCACAAAGGACAACAAACTAGCATTTTGTGATCCTGGATCTTTGTTGTAGCTTTTAAGAACAGTATGCTCTCCACAAAAAAAAAAACAAACAAACAAAAAAAAAAAACCAAACAAAAAAAACCCACAAAAAACCCCACAATCAATTCTGTTTGGCTATCAACAAAACTCATGTAACTGGACAAAGTGAAAGTTCTGAGCCATAAATTCAACAACAGATCATTCTTCAAACCTTGGGTGATTTTTGCTGCTAAATCCACGAAGAGATCACTGTCATTTTCCGTAATCTGGGATCTGGACCTCTGTTTCTTTGTCTCCTCAACAACGTAATCGTAAAGAGCAAGGCGGTCAGCTTGGGTCAGGTCACAGGTGAAACGCTTGTGGTTTTGAGGAACTTCTATGGGCAGTAATGAGTAAGAACCTGGAGGTTGGACAGAGAGCTGTTACTTGTAAAGTAGCATAATTATGCAGGAAAATAGCAAGAAGCTCAACAAACAAACAATGCCGTAAACTCCTAGGCTGTTTTCATCCTTCCCCTATGTATCTGTAAGAAGTTTCAACCTTCTTAATTTGAAAAGATGAAAACTGCTCAAAGATCCCTCCCAAGCCCCCTTCAGGCTGTAAAACCCCTCTTGACTGCTTACACAGACACAGTTTTCATATGCCACAAAGGAATCATACTAGATTAGATCGAAACAACCTCTATAATTTCCCATGAGTTTCAGCTTTTGGCTTACAAACTAAATCAAAAGAGGCTGCAGCTCTGACTTGTGGGTTTATCTTACTCCTAAAATGTTATGTAAAGTGCTAGCTGCAAAATACCTGTTCTGCCAACAAGAATGAGAGCTTCTAGGAGACTAGATAACCAAGCACTGTGAAAATCAGTCTCACTCACACTGTCACATTTTCTACAGAGCTTTTATAACAGACTGACACTGGGATTTATAGCTAAAAGTACTGCAAAGGCACTTTCAAAGTGCTCCAGATCAGATAACTGACTTAAAGCTACGGAAACAAGCACACTGCCTGAACACTTTCTTTCCCATTCCCCAGTTAAAACACACATGCCTCCAAACAAATGAATCCATTCTCAATCCACTGCAACAGCAGTTAAGTGACTTCCACAAAGACACAGGCTGTAATCCTCTAGGACATTGCCAGCAGAACACCATTTGAGTCAAAAACTTTCAGTTTTCCTGCAAGCATTGATCTGACCTCCATAATCCTGCCTCCCCCAACACAATCTCCAGACAGACATCAGAGCCAACACATAAGAAGGGGATATACAACAACTGCAAACCTAGAGCTTCTCCAGATTATTCAGCTCTCAATGGAAGCTGGGCAATCTTTCACATCCTACTATCACTAAGGACACCAAAGAAGAGAAAGAGAAACCACAGTAACTCTCAAACAAACCTAAAATACAAGATTTCATCATTACTGTACTTGGAACCTAAACCAGAACTGTTCTAACATGAACAAATTAATTTAAACACAAAAATTAGAAGTCTCTTTTTAAAATGCACTGTTCTTACAGTGTCACAGAAGTCCATAAAAATGCACTGATAATTACATGCTTGTGATTTCAGAAGAATTACACAACTTGTGATTGAGACAAATTTTTCTTTTCAACAATATAGTTATGCTAATATTCTAAATATGGTTAGAATTGAAAAAAAGAAAACAAAGAAAGAAAATCTTCTCCTTTGAGACAGTGAGTCAAAAAGGAAATTTACAATGAAAAATTATTTTTCATTTGTTTCTGTTGCCAAAGCCTTTACAAACCTTACAACAGGCCAAGTTGTCACAATGAAAAGCACCGATCCAGTTTTAGTGTTATCCTCGGAGAAAGGAAAGCTTGCAGGGCAATCTGGGCAGTGAACACTGGCATCTAGTGGCTCACTGGTGCACCTTTGCAATGAACCACTCCACAAAGGGGTTATCTGCTGCTTCTCTACTTGGACGTGGTTGTGTCAAATTAATGAGTTCCCACTTCCCTTCAGAGGAAATGCACCTCACATGCTCAAAACACTTCCAAGCAACTGTCCATTAAGCCTCTATTTGCTATGCCAGAGAAACAAAGAAAACATGAAAAGCTGTCCGAGCAAGTGCTGCTGTATTTCACTGTCAGAAAAGTTTCAGTGTTACTTTTCCTTCTGCCTATATATGTTTAACAAACCAAAGTCTACAGAGAGCAAGTGTTCTTTCAGGTGTTGCAGTAATTTCTCAACCATACACTAAAGCTCAACAGATTCCTCAGTGAGCCATATTTTTCTGCTTGATCTAAATCTGACCTTCAAAAACTCCATCCTAGCCTGGTCCTCTGTCTGGTCACAAAACCCACTGAAAAATGAAATGTAAAGGAAGTAGTGAGCCTGGAGCAGTGACAAAGGACAACATCACATTTGCAAATGTGCCAGCATAATTCTTATACAAATTCTTAGTTCAGTCTTGAAACAGTCCAACATAGTAACCAGCCTGTTGTTTGGTTTTTTCAGTCCTGAAGACAATAAGAGATACAGCCACAACAAACTCAAAGTCTCTCATCTAGTTGCCCCAAGTACAGAAAGTAATCATGCTCCAAGATGTGCAGGGGAAGGAATATTAAAAATAAATGAAGTGAAATTCCTCACAGCAGTTCTCAGTGGAATGAGAGGAATGAAGGAAGCAGTAAGGAGGGAGACAAGGGCAGCTCTCCACAGGAGGCTGGTGAAATCACATCAGTATCTTCTTGCTCCTTACCTTCACTGTAGCCTGAACCTTCCTTCACACTTTGGGCTCTAGCCTGCTTAACAATGTGAAACTGTAGATCTTTATCTGCAGGCAGAGAAAAAAATAAAATCATACCAGTTTTACATCAAGTTTTTGGGTACTTGATTGGGTTAGTTTTTATTCCCCAACCTCTATTATGAGACTTATGGTATGGTACAAAACATCATTGTTTCATTCATTTGAACTAAAAATGCAATTTTCATCTATTACATATTTGAAATGAGGGGAGAAAATTAAGGAAAAAATGCATTTCTGGGTTACAAGGATATGGAAAAAGAAATGTATGTATATTGCTCTCTGTACCATTGCTTTATCTCCAAATTCTACAGACAGCTTCCCCACCTTCTTAGCATTCATTTTAATACACTTTCTGCATTTGATGCAAGAGTGAGGACTGAGAACATAGGAAGAAACTCCTAAGAGGACAAAACAGATCCCCCTTAGATTTTAAGACGAAAATATAAAAGTGATCTACAGAATAGAATTACACAGTGATAGATGCATAAAAACGGTAAAATAAGGCAAATTGCAAATTACAATTTGAGAAAACTAACCTATTGATTGAAACACTGAAGGTTTTCAGGAGGTCTTGGGGAGCTTACAGCTGCCAAGGCAGCGGGGTTGTGCTGCCGTGAGGACCCGGCCTCCTTAGTCCCACATCTCCGTCCTTCCCCGGGACCTCCCCATGGCCCCTCATCCTCTGCACTCCCCGGGGGTCCCTCCTCAGCCCCAGCCGCGTGTGCCGCCCCGTCCGGCGGAGCCCCCGCTGCCGCTCACCCATGGCGATGCTAGGAACCTTCAGGTTTCCGTAGAAAAAGCTGGAGTCGTACATCTCGGCCTGCGGGACCAAAGGGCTCGGTCAAGGCCCGGCCCGGGGCTGCCGAGCGGCGGTGGCAACCCAGGCGCGCCCGGGGCAGCAGCGCCAGCCCCGTGCCCCGCTTCCCGAGCCGCGCTCCCACCTCCTCCTCGGCGGAGTATCCCATCCTCCGGAGCCGGCAGGACGCCGCGTGCCTCTCCAGCGACGCGCGGGGAACACGGTGATGGACATCGTAGGGGCACAGCACCCACTCCACCTGCCAGGGGACACGGGTCAGCCCCGCCACGCCGGCCACGCCGGCCCCGCCGCCCTGCCCCGCGCAGCCCCCGCCGCCTCACCGGGTCCCCGCCGAGCCACACGGCGCTGGGAGCCGCCATCGCTGCGCCGGGCACCGCCATCGCCGCACCGCGCAGCCCCGTGACCGAGAGGGGCGGCCCCGGCGCCGCCTTCGCTGAGGGCGCTCCCGCCTCAGAGGGGGCGGCACCCGGCCCGGCACGGGGTGCGGAGGGGTCAGAGTTGAGCTTTGCCTTTTATTTTTTAAAAATTAGTATCCGGTAGCTGGACAGTTAGGATTAATCAGTTGCATTGTGAGCATGGTTAGTGTGAAAAATGCATATTTTATGATTGGATTTTCGCAAATATTAGAATGAATTGTATTACTGTTTTTATAACCATTTTATTACTATTAAACTTTTAAAAATTTAAAAATTTAAAAACAAGTGATTGGCGTTTTCATAGATGGGCTGTCCGGACGAAAGGCACCAGAAGCAAAGTCAGCAGGGCTGAGCAGTAACTGGGGACTGTAATCCGGCAGTGGGCGATCCGCAACCTCCGACTCACTGGCCACCTACTCGGAACGGACCCCAGGCTCAGATGGAGGGCAGGACCGCGCCGCGGACTGATTAGCATGAGCAGCGACAGACACAGCCAGCAGATGGGGATTGAGTAGCAATGAACACAAAAGTTACGTAATTTGCAACCAATGACCGCTGATGCCCCTGCTTGCTGAAATGTGTAAATAGCGTGAAGTTCCGGCGCTCGGCAAGGCAGCCGTGTGCGGCTCACTGCCGACTACCTGGAGAGACGGGAGCAAGCACCGGGAAGGCCGCGGTGCCTCAGGGCCGCGGGCGCCGCCTGCCGGCGGGAGGCCGCGGGGACACCCCCGCCCTGCCCCGGGGGACAGCGGGCGCTGGCTTTCCTGCGCCGCACGGGCCGGGGTGCCCGCCCGCCTCATGAGGGCCGCTCGCCTGGGCCCCCAGAGCCGCCAAAGCGCTACCCCTGATCGTGGCGGGGCGGGAGGAACAACAGCCTCCCTGTCGCCATCCAGGCCCTGAGGCCCGATTCTCTCTTGGAACATGTGACAAACACAATCACTTGTTTTTTGTTTTTTTTTTTTTTTTTTTTTGTTTGTTTTGTTTTGTTTTTTTTTTCTTATTTAAAAAGTTTAATAGTAATAAAATTGTTATAAAAACAGTAATATAATTAGAGTAATAATAATTTGGACAATTTGAATTAGGACAATATGAGACAATAGAGACAAAGAGTTATGGATGTCTGGGTACCTGTTTCTGGGCAGCACGAGCCCAAAAAAGGACACCCGTTAACAAAGGATTAACCCTTAAAAACAATAACCAGTTGCATATTCATACACTTCATACATGATGCAAAATTCCATTCAAACACAGGATTCTGTCTGGTCATCGTCAACTTCTTCCTCTGAATCCTAACAGCGCCTTCGAGGCGGGAAGAAGTTTGTTTCTTCTGATAAGAGGGCAAGAAATTCTTTTTCTCTGAAAGATTTAGTTTGTCCTGTGGCTGCTATCTCATTGCAAGTCCTTTCTTTAAGAAAAAGGTATCCCACATAGCATAGTTTGTATTTTAACATTTTTTATAACCCAAAACTATATTTAACACACTACTTAAGAGAATTAATACATTACTTTCTAACACAACACATATAATATTCATTTTAATATTTGTGAAAATCCAATCATAAAATACGCATTTTTCACAGAACATGAGGAGTGTGGTGCGAGATGACAGCAGGCCCTCCAGCAGGCCCCTGCCGCAGGATTGTGAGAGGATCCCCAAGCAGCAGGATATGCAGTGCAGAACCAGGATGGGTTTGTCCCCCCCTGGAGCACAGGGGTGTTGCCAGTGTGCAGGGAGCTGCATGGCTGCACAGGGATACCCCAGGGTCCTGCCCAGTACTTGGCCTTAATTCTGAGAGCATTTTGCTGAGGGGCTGAGGGAGCAATAGGGCTCAATCAGACTGTAAGGCAGGATGGGGACAGAAGGACTATCTTAAGGGATAGATTTCACATGATTGACATTTGTGCTTGCCTATTTGTTGTCTCTGAAAAGCACACGACTGGATGGAAGAGTGGGTTTATCAAGGCAGGGTGGGGGAGAGGCAGCATGACAGATGCAGCTGCCAGAATGACTTTTGGACATCTGCTTTTCGTTAGCAGATCACAGCCCTTCCCTGCGCAGTGAATTTGAGACTCAGCTGGGATTTTAGCCCTCTGAGAGATTTGGTGCCTCTAGCTACGTTTGCCTGGGGATCTTTGACATCACATGATACAGACTACTTGTTGTGAAGACTCTTCCCAGCTGCACTTTTCATCCATGCTGTACTGAAGTACACTTACTAGCATTAGCACATTTTATCAAAAGAGTACTGAGAAAAGCTGTGCAAAACTGTTTTGACCATCTCCACTGGGAAAAAACATTTATTCAAAATTATGAAAATCAAGTTCAACAAAGTATCCAAGCAGATTTGTTTTAAGACTAAAGATTTAAAAAAAATTGATTTTGTTTGTTTATAAATTAAATTGATAAGAATTAGGGTAGATGTTTTGTTCAGCTAAACAACAATATTTTGAATGATTCAAAATTATCTTAGGGGCTTCTTTTCTTCTAAAAAGCCCCAGTTCCTGTTATCATGGAATAATCATGGCAACAGACTTTCCAGGAGCAAACTTACTGGATGGGAGAAAAAGATCATCAGCTTACAAAAGTTCATAGCACCACTTTTCCTTCCAGGCAAAATCACACTTGGGTTGGCTTCCCATCAAGCAAAGAGTGGGATTGTCACAGTCTTTCAGCTAAAACTCTTCCCCAGCTGTTGTCTTCAGTCTGTGGCACACCCTCTTCTCCTGCACCCAGCACTGTGCTGCTGCTGCCCAACAGCACAGTGACTTTGTCATCAAACATTAACACATGGTTAATAATGTAAGTTTAACACTCTCAGTCTCATGGTCCCTTCTGAGCAGGAGGGAGGAAGCTGCACAGCTGCATTTTCCCAGGCAGGAATGCTGCCTCACTGCAGGATGCTGCAGCAGGGGCACTTGAGTATGGTGCAGCGCCTTTGCAGAGGTGCAATTCATGGCAAGTAGTGTGGTGCTTTCATAGATGGACAACATTGATCTATGGACAAAGTCTCTGTGGATATCAGCCCCAAATATCCTCACAGTGCAGCAGAACAGTCCTAAACTGCTGGACAAGTAGAAGGTAGAACAGGGAAGAATTAGTGTATACATTAAGCCAACATAGATCATACAGCACTTCAGGAGAGCTCCTTAAATGTACCACCTTGTGTCTTCCTTCAGATGGAATTTATACTGCTAGATACTCCAGCTGTTGGCACATCAGGAACCATCTAGTTTAGGACCATACCCTGGGGCACAAAGCTTAACCTAGGTTGAATGATCCCAACCCAACAAAGTCACTTGGTACCTCCAAGAGTGCCAGGTTGAAACCACACTGAAATCACACTGCTCTTAAGGTCCAAACCTTCCTAATGGTGTTCCAGAGGAGTGGGAGGCTCATCCTGAGGAGCAGACTTCTTCCCCACACAGCTGACACAGGGAGGAGCATCCCATGGCTTGTGTTAGGTTTTTCCTCCACTACTAAAAAAACCTTGCAGACTTTCTGCAGCCAGGTATTTATTTAGAAGTATACTGAATTTTTCTCTAACATGAAAGAAAGAGATTTTTCATATTTAGCATTCCTTCTATTCCTTAGATTCAAAGCACTACCTAACAGTTTTATTGTGTTCAGTTTCCCCTAGAAACAGGGGAAAAATGTGAAAGCTCAATTTATTAATTTTTTAAAACATGCTTTGGGTAAAGAGAAATAAAACACACTTTGTAACAGTTTTCTCAATCCTTATCACATTCAGCATGCACATTTCTGGATGAGAAAAGGGCCATGAAGCCAGGCAAAACAAGCTGTAGGATGAATAGAAACCTCATGGGACTACCCAAAAGCCAAAATGGAAGCAGCCTGGCTTGTGGGCCCAGACAGCCCATGCAGGCCTGGGAGATAGAAAAGACAGCTCTTGACCTCCAACTGTGACAGATTTTTGCTGGTTCCAGCCCAACATGTTTGGCAAATTTACAACAAGATCTGTGCATCTTTGTGAAGGATATGGAGTAAGCAGCCAGCACCTGGCAGAGACCACAGTCTCTCCTGCAGCAGGGAATGGCTCTCCCAGGACATATGCCATGCAGATCCCTAGGGCAGTTTAAGCTGCAGCTGCTTCTTTAACACTCACCCCTTGGCCTGCAGGAGCAGGGGATGTTGAACAGGAAGGTTGAGGTGACTGTACTCACCTCAGAGCAGCTATGGCTGTTGCCACCTCTTCTCCCTTGCCCCTGGAGCCTGCATGTCAACCTCATTTTCTCCAGGAAAGGAGTTGTGATATCCAGGCTGGTAGCATCAGTGTCACTCTGCAAAAATGAGAGAGATTTGGTGAAGACGAAGCACACTTGAATTTCAGACACTTAAATTTCATTCTTTTTTGGTCACTGTTGGTTTTACTCTCTTCTACCTTAGACTTCAGCAAAGATGCCACATTCAAAATCTGTAGCCTTGATTCAGCTGAACCAGCTTTTTTATCTATAGGGACACGAGGTGAGCTTCTCTAGCACATAAGAATCAATTTATAGAAGTATCATTTATGCCATAGGCATATTTTCCAAAATTGCCTTTACCAGACCACTGACAAGAGTTTAATTTTCATCTTTTGCTGTCCAAGTTCTAATTTTCTTGCCTTCTAGCTCATCCAAAAGTCCAGTGTGGAGCAGTACAGGTGCTGATGGCAACCAGAGAAATCAGAGAATGCTTAGACCTCGCTGCTTTCTCTGCTGGAGGAGTGCAGCTGATTTATTGCTTCAGCTGTGTAGCACTCAGAGCCTGCTGCAACTCCTTAGCTCATGGATGTTTATTTCTTTGTAACTTAGTCCAGTTCACAATTACAGCCTGTGGTGTATTTTATGAACTGCAGTGCACTGGACAATTCCAAATTGATTTACAGGCAGCAACTCTAGCATCTATTAATACCTTATTGATTCTTCTCTCTGTATCTCTCTGTGATCTCTCATGGATTCATCAGATTTAGATCAGTTT